CCCCAAAACCCCAAAACCCCAAAACCCCGGCAATATACTTATGGTAATTATGTAATGAGCGAATAAATAAATATGAATTTAAATATACAATAGATTGAAGCATTATCTGGTTTGTGTGCAGGAGTTGTTTCAAGCTTTGTGTCACATCCAATTGATACTGTTAAAATAAGAATGCAGCTTCAACCAGGATAGATAAGTTTGAAATTAGTCCCTACAGTAACTGGAGTCTATCAATATGAAGGAGTAATTTTGAAATAATGACATATTTACAGATTAGGGGATTTTACAAAGGAGTTCTCTCGCCAGTAATTGGTAAAGCACCTTTGGCATCTGTGTAATATATAAGAATTAAATCTTTTATTCAGAGTTTTTTCATCATTGAGTTTCGCTAAAAGAAATTTAGAACCATTTGATTTCGATTCTGATACAAAAACGATGATTGCTGGATTTTTTGCAGGAATGTAAGTTACTTTACTTTCAACTAAAATATCTTTCGAATATCTTAATCATTTTATTCTCCTATATTAGATGCTATGCTAATGCTGCCTTTATCTTTGATTTCTTTAAAATTAGAGCATAAAATTCCAGACATTCTAGTTTGTCCTATAGAGAGGAGATCAGAAGAGTATATAAAAAAGACGGGCTTGGAGGATTTACCAGAGGTTGGAGCAGCATGGTTATCAGAGATGCTCCAGGTCTTGCAATCTATTTCACCCTTTTCGAAATTTTCAAACGGAAACTAAATGTAGCCCAAATTGAAAAATAAGTTTAAGAAAATAAGGACAATAATTAGAGCAATAACAAAAATAATGCTAATTTATTCTTAAGAAGATTTATTGCAGGAGGTTTTGCTGGAGCTATCTAATGGTTCTTAGCCTATCCAATGGACGTAGTGAAAAGCAAGATGCAAGTGCATGATGGTGAGCATAGATTGAGGTTGAGCAGACTGATCTCATAAATGATAAAGGATCATGGAGTTTGGTATTTCTATAGAGGTGTGCATGTCTAGGTTATTAGAGCGTTCCCCACATGTGCTTCAAGTTTAGTGACATATGAAACAGTTAAAAGCTACCTTAAATTAAATCACTTAAATGTTCTCCAAGTAGAATGAATGAATTATTTAAAAAGACATGCTTTTGATAAAACAGAAATATAAGCATTAAAGCAACATTATATTTGATGGTCTGCTCTTAAACTCTGATTTTTTCAAAGAGGGGTTTTGGGGTTTTGGGG